CTGCCATATTTTGGACACCATCTCGCCAGACGGCGAAACGTTCAAGATGCTCGGCGTTCTGTTCGACACCAGATTGAGCATGTACAAGGCGGTGTCCCACTTCGTGGCAGAAGGCTCCTGGAGGCTCCAGGCGCTACTTCGAACAAAGCGGTTTTACTCCACTGCTGAGCTGGTTCGATTGTACAAGTGCCACGTGCTGTCGTACATTGAGGGCGCTACCCCGGCAATTTACCACGCTGCTGAAGCCACTCTCCGCCATCTCGACGGGCTGCAAGACACATTTCTGAAAGGCGTGGGCTTGACACCCAAGGAAGCACTACTTGAACACAATCTGGGCCCACTGGGGTTGCGGCGTGACATTGCAATGCTTGGTCTTCTATACAAGGTTGCTCATGGGAAAGCACCGCCATCGTTGGCTTCTCTGTTTGAGCCGTTCAGAGGCCAACTTGCAAGGTACGGTTTCTCATCAGATCCGCGTTTGCACAGCAAGGCGTTGCACGAACCTCTCCAACCCGGCCATCCTCGAATGCTTCATCGGTCAATCTATGGTCTGATTTCTATATTCAACCGCTTGCCTGGCATCGTGGTGCGCGCCAGGTCTGTCAAAGGTTTCCAACGTTCGCTGCAACGTCTGGCCAAGGATGATGCTGTGACTGGCAGCCATGAGTGGTCTCGAATTTTCCGCCCGGGCTGACGCCGCCGAGAGAATGTATGCATCGTGTGTTTTTTGATGATTTGAGGGTTCGTCGTAGAAATTGTCTGAGGCGCTGTGAAACTCGAAACGCCGTTCATGCGGGAAGTGTACATGTTCCCCTGGGAATGAGACGATTTTTCCCGGAAAGGGCGCAGGCCCAGGGTTCTCTTTTTGTTTGTTTCTTCCCGGTTTTGACGGCTGTAGGGCCGGCGAATTTCTTTTGCGATAAATAACGGGGTCGCGTAGGGCCGGCGAATTAAAATTTGAGGATGTCTCGAGCGAAACGCTTGTTGTTTCATAATTTGTTGAGGATGTCTCGAGCGAAACGCTGGTTTTGCAGAGTTGGGGATGTCTCGAGCGAAACGCTTGGTTTCAGAATTTGTTGAGGATGTCTCGAGCGAAACGCTAGTTTTGCAGAGCCGACCGCGACACGGAAAAGCGCCCCAAGGAATTCTGAGGATGTCTCGCGCGTGCCGCGCCCCGCGCGCAGGAATTTATATTTCTTGGGATTTTGACAGGATGTCTCGAGCGAAACGCTTGTTGTTTCATAATTTGTTGAGGATGTCTCGAGCGAAACGCTGGTTTTGCAGAGTTGGGGGATGCCTCGAGCGAAACGCTTGCTTTTCAGAATTTGTTGAGGATGTCTCGAGCGAAACGCTGGTTTTGCAGAGTTGGGGTATCTAACATGGCGTCGGGCCCAACGCCGAATTATGAGGAAAAGTGATGGCTTCTTGCTCTGAACAGGGGGGTGCGCTTTGGGGGCCTCTCCAGGGAAGACGTTGTGAGGATGTCTCGAGCGGGAGCGCGAATTCAGCGTATCCAAATCACGCAGAGGGGTATCTAACATGGCTGTCCCGAGCTGGAACCACGTGTTTTTTCATGCTCAGGCCACCCAGGGAGATCTCTAACATGATTGTCCCGAGCTGGAACCACGTGTTTTACGTGTCCAGGCCACCCAGGGGGTATCTCTCATGGTTGTCCCGAGCTGGCACCGTGTTTTTACGTGTCCAGGCCACCAACACGACGCTTGTCCCCAGCACGTTCTGTAGCGCGTCCCCTTGGCACGTCTCGCGGTGCGTCCCCGTGGCACGTCCCCTGGCACGTCGCCTGGCGCGTCCCTTGGAACGTTCCGCGGCGCGTCTTCCTGGCATGTTTCCTTGTCAATTAGCTCTGCGGCAGCTACTGCGTGGACTATGTGCTCAGGCAGCTCGAGCTTAAGATCCAGATCAGTTCGGTCAGGACTCGGATGCAACGGAGGACTCGATCCACAACGCTGTAGAGCACAATCGCGGCATGGCACATCGCAGTTCAGCACGGCGCAGCACAGCACAGCCCTCGGCACATTACATCAAGATCGGTACACTCACTCAGCATTGCAACTTGGCACGTTCTTTGGCACGTTCCGTGGCGCGTCCTGTGGCGAGTCCCCCTGGCACGTCGCGCGGCGCGTCCCCTGGCACGTCCCGTGGCACGTCCATAATGCATTGGCACGTTCCGTAGCGCGTCCCCTTGGCACGTCTCGCGGTGCGTCCCCATGGCACGTCCCCTGGCACGTCGCCTGGCGCGTCCCTTGGAACTTTCGGCGGCGCGTCTTTCTAGCATGCCCCCCGTGAATTAGCTCTGGGGCAGCTACTATGTGCTCAGGCAGCTCGAGCTTAAGATTCAGATCAGTTCGGTTAGGACTCGGATGCAAAGGAGGACTCGATCCACAACGCTATAGAGCACAATCGTCACGTGGCACATCGCAGTTCAGCACGGCGCAGCACAGCACAGCCCGCGGCACGGTACATCAAGATCGATACACTCACTCAGCATTGCAACTTGGCACGTTCTTTGGCACGTTCCGTGGCGCGTCCTGTGGCGAGTCCCCCTGGCACGTCGCGCGGCGCGTCCCCTGGCACGTCCCGTGGCACGTCCATTGGCACGTTCCGTAGCGCGTCCCCTTGGCACGTCCCGCGGTGCGTCCCCGTGGCACGTCCCCTGACACCTCGCTTGGTGCGTCTCTTGGCACGTCCCGTGGCACGTCCATTGGCACATTCCGTAGCGCGTCCCCTTGGCACGTCCCGCGGTGCGTCCCCATGGCACGTCCCCTGGCACGTCGCCTGGCGCGTCCCTTGGGACGTTCTGCGGCGCGTCCTCCTGGCATGTTCCCTTGTCAATCAACTCTGGGGCAGCTACTAGTTATGTGCTTAGGCAGCTCGAGCTTAAGATCCAGATCAGTTCGGTCAGGACTCGGATGCAAAGGAGGACTCGATCCACAACGCTATAGAGCACACTCGTGGCATGGCACATCGCAATTCAGCACGGCACAGCACAGCACAGCCCTCGGCACGGTACATCAAGGTCGATACACTAAGCATTGCATTTGCCCGTCGCCCAATCAGGTGTCTTTGAAACGTTGCCATGTCTTACATTGCTATATTCCTTTCCGGGTTCGTGGGTCGATCATGTTGATTGTAATGGCCGTCTTGGAGGGCCTCTTGAGGCTCTCTTGGGGCTTCTTGGCGGCCTCGACGGCAATTTTGATGTCATCTTGGGCGATTTGGAACGATTGTTCGGCGACTTGAGGCCGCTTGGATTGTTTCGGGGGCGTTCTGGTGCCGTTTTGGCGCGCTCCTGGAGCGTTCTGGGGGCATGAGCCGAACTTCGCGCTCTGGGCGGCGTGCGGAAGCGATTGTGTGAGAGGGCGCGGTGGTGAGAAGAAGAGCTCACCCCACACGGCTTTCCGGGCTTTCCGGCGTAAGGAGGGCTTCTTCGCGGCACTTGTGAACGCTCCTGGACAGTGCTTTTTGGGCATGTTCTTGACGCTTGTTGCAAGTCTGTAGGGGCCCCGTTGGGAGTCTACCGAAAGGAGAGCACATTGTAGCATCGCTTGCACTTGCTTGCGTGCTCGGGGGGGCATTTGGGGGGCCTCCTGGGGCCGCTTGGGGGACTCTTGGGGGCCTCCTGAGGGCCTCGTGGGGGCCTCTTGGGGCCTCTTAGGGGCCTCTTGGGGCCTCGTGGGGGCTTCTTAGGGCCGAGGGCTCGAAATGTTGTTTCGTGTTCCCTCTCTGGGGCCCCTTTGGGGGCGTTCTTGGGGCCCTTTTGGACCGTCTTGGAGGCTTCTTGGGCCGTCTTCGAGCCCTCTTGGGCCATTTTGGGGCCCTCTTGGGGGCCTCTTGGGCCCTCTTGGGGCGATCTTGGGGGCCTCTTGGGCCGTCTTGGGGCGTCGGGAAGCCGAAAAGGTGGAAGCTCCAAAATCTCTCAAAAACCTAAGGAAAAGCAATGAATTTTGCCTCCGGGGGCCCTCTTGGGAGTGCTCTTGGAGGCCTCTTGGGGCGTCTGGGGGCTATCTTGGGCGTCTTGGAGCGATCTTGTGGCATGTCGGACCCCTCGTGTACCATCTTGGGGGCCTCTTGGGGGCCTCTTGGCCTTTCTTGGGGCTCTTGGGGACGTCTCGGAGCCCTGTTGGTGCGCTCATGGAGCGCTCTGGTGGAGTCGCCCGGGGATCAGCTGGGACCCGCCCGGGGTACTTTTCGTCCGGGGACCCCCAGGGGCCGCCCCGCGCGCGCGCGAACTAGAGAATTGTTAACCAGTTAGCGGAGATCTTAGCACGCCTCTGGCCCGTTGGGCCGGCGAATTCGTGTGTCCCAGGGCCCCTTCAATAACGTGTCGCTGGCGCCGCCGCCGCAACACGCTAAACAAACGTTCCCGACGATCTCCATGACCCGCCTACGACTGGAATTCCACTGGCTTCCAGACCCTGGATTCCTCATCCAATGATTCCTTTTTCCGATGCCCTCACCGTGTCATGTTGATGGATGCTGATGGTTGATGAGCAACATCATCATAGTCATAATCATACTCATCATCATCATCATCATCATCATCATCATCATCATCATCATCATTATCATCATCACCATCATCATCATCATCATCATCATCGCCATCATCACTATCATCACCATCAGCATCATCAATATCACCAGCATCAGCATCATCATATGGGGTTATGGTATATCGCTCATCCAGCCTCTGTCAAGTGCGTGGCGTTACGTTCAACACGGTCCCAGTCGTCGTCATCAGCATCATCATCACCATCACCATCACCATCGCCATCTCAATTATCATCATCATGACCACCATCATCATCATCGTCAATATCATCGTCATCATCAGCATCGTCATCATCGTCATGATCATCATCATCATCAGCAGCATCATCTTCATATTCAGCTTCATCTTCATCTTCATCTTCATCCTTTCTCTCCTCCTCCTCCTCGTCCTCCTCCTCGTCGTCGTCGTCGCCTGCCTCCTCCCGAAGGCTGGGACGAAGACTCGCCGCCGCCACCGCCCGCTCCGGAGCTCCGCGCGCCCCCCCGCTCCGCCGAGCTGCGCGGACCGCTGTCGCCGCGGGAGGCCCCCGGCGGACCCCGCCGCCCCTCGTGTCGGATCGGCTCGGCGCCGACGACGACGACGACGACGACGACGACGACGACGACGACGATGCGACGACGACGACGACGACGACCACGACGACGACGACGTCGACGACGACGACGATGCGACGACGGCGACGACGACGATGACGATGACGAAGACGACGCCGGATCGACTCGGCAGGAGGAAGCGCCAAGCCCCCAAAAGATCCGACGCTCCCAAAATAATGGAGCGGGCGGCTTTTGGTTGATTTCGGCCTTCGGGAGCCCTCGACGTGGTCCAGACCTCCGGGCTCCTCGGACGTCGCCTAATGTGGGAGCGGTTAATGGGGGGGCAACGAGGGCTGCCTCAAAGGGGCCCTTCAGGGCCCAGGATGGTGCCTTCAGGGCCCGAAAAGTGCACCTGTCTTCCCCCCCCAATTTACCCCCCCCCCCCCAATTAAGCAACGCCCAAGCTCCACAGCGCCGTCTGAGGTCCTTCCATTGTTGGAGGGACCGCATGGATGGAACGCGAAGCTCCACAGCGCAGGCTCCACAGCACCGTCTGTCAGAGGAGGAAAAGGTACCTATGCAGCTAGCCTTCGCCCGTTTTCCATTCTTTGGGGCCTCCTGAGAGGCCCTCGTTGCCACCGCTGGATTCGCCTCGAAATCCAGATCAGAAAGCACACCAGGAGAGATCCGGGGAGTAGCGGTATCGGTACCTTTTGGTCTCCCCAGTCTGGGGTTCCTCCCTCTGTTGTTGGAGGGACCGCGAGGATGGAACTTGAAGGTTCAAATCAGTTGCGGCAGTACTTCCATCCCACCCTGCCCGGCGGAAAAAAAAAACACCCAGGCCCCAACCATTGCACTCCTGCCGCCCCTTAACGGAGGCCATCGAGAATAAAAGAACCCCGAACCCGAATAACACAGCGAAATCGCGGCCTCTTTGAGGTCCCCGTCTTGGCATCACGGATCATAAATCTGGGCGGTTGGGTTCGATATTGCTGCAGAATGAGGCCTCCTCTCCGTAAGAGCGTATTTCTTTATTGCTTGGGGCATCATGGGCCTTATAGCCCCCGGCCCCCCCCCCCCCTCCCCCCTCCTATGACGTAACGCCTCTCCCCCCCCCCAGTGCGCTCGGGGCACTGCCGCCGTGCGCATCCGGCGCGCGGCTGTGGTGCTGGAGCCACACGCCGGGGGGGGGCGTTACATCAGACCCCCCCCCTACCCCTCCCCCCCGCCGCCCTATGACGCCCATTACCGCCAAAAATACAGAAACGCACTCTAAGGTGCTCCCAGAGATCCGACGTCGTGATTTTTTCCATACGGGGTCCCCGGCAATCTCGACCCTTTCCCCGGGATCAGTTTTTCATCTTGAGCCGTTTTTTGACAGTCCTGGGGCCCGGCGAGGGCCCCCAGCAGCCGAACATGGCGAAAAGCTTCCGCCTTGATGCTGGATCTCTGGGTTTGGCCCTCCCAGCTCGGGCCCCCTCCCACAGGGTCAGGGGTCCCTCCTTCAGTGCCTCCAGAGCGGGCAGCCTTGGCTGCGCGTGTCGCCGAGGCCGCGCGCATCCCGACGCGGGGCCTCGCCTCCTCGGGGAGGCGGAGGAGGAGGAGGAGGAGGAGGAGGAGGAGGAGGAGGAGGAGGAGCGCGGCCTCGCCTCCTCGGGGAGGCCGCCTCGGCCACCGCGGGGGCCCACGCGCCGCCTCGGGCGCGGTGGCCTCGGCCGCGGGGTTTGGCCGCGGGAGGCCCCTGGCGGCCCCTCGGGTCGGATCGGCTCGGCGCCGACGACGACGACGACGACGTCGACGCCGACGACGACGACGACGACGACGACGACGACGACGACGACGACGGCTTCGTCTGGTGGGGCGCGGGACGCAGGGTTTGCCGAGGCCTTGCCGTGGCGTGGGCCTCGTCCACTGGGGCGCGTGGAGCGCCAACGACGGCGCGAGACGTGGCGGGTTCCAGAAAGAGCCTGGCGTCCGAGGGTCGACGGGGTCGTCGTCTCTTCCTCGGCGGAGGGCGGCGGAAGGGCGGCGGAAGCCCGCGGAAGTAAAACGAGCCGCCTCCGCCAGCGGAAGCAAGCGGAAGGCCAGCGGAAGCCGGAAAGTCGGCCTCCGAAGGGAGGGCCAGCTTTGTTTTGGTCAGGGTTTTAGATGCCGCTTTCAAGGGGGACAAAAAACACTCAGAGACACAATGAATCGTCGATTCCCCGGAAACTGTGCGAAGCTATGGGAAGTGGGGGGGGAGACAGAAACCCAGAAAGCGCGGGAAAATGGAGGGAATCTTGGGTTTTGTTTGTATCAGCGTGTGCGCTTGTGGGCCCCTTCAATTAGATTTATGATGTTCCAACCTACTTCAGCCTTGATCACCAGAAAGAATTCCGAGCGCCAGAAAAGTACCGAAACTCGGGGTGGTTTCACGTGTCGGGCCCTGGGAGACACTCGCCCGACACTGATTCAACACTCTTTCGATACTTTTCCGGGTGCTCGAAATCATTTCCAGGATTTGGTCTTCAAGTACGATGGGAGCAACATAAAACTAGACCATACGCTCAGGAGGGTGCGGGGGATTAGGAAATTTGCTGCATGCAGCTGGTTTCGGTCTCACCGAGGGGCCCATTCCTCGATACATGGCCGCCTCCGGCGCCGGAAGGCGCCGGGAAGATCAGCTACGTGAGCTAATTCTCAACCCCCCCCCTTTGCTATCCCCCCCTTTCGCCCGCCCCGAGCGTGGCGACACGCCATCCGCGTGCAAGGGATAATTCGCGCGGCGCCGGGGCCGCGGCCGCAGTCACGTCAAATAAGAAGTCGGGCTGCCAGCAGATGCCCCAGGGAAGCTTGTTGCCCCTCGATGGACATATGGGGGCTCGCACAGGCCCTGGGGCACCCAAGGAGGAAGGAAGCTCAGGGCTCGACGACAAGCGTCCCAGCAGATTCCTCATGGCACGTTGTCTCACCGTATGTATCACTTGCAGAGGTTCTTGAGGTTTTCGAGCGTTCCAGTAGGTTCTGGGTGAGCGACGCAGAAAAGCGGGGTCGTTTGCGCCGACATTGGCGCGTAAGTTGCCCGCGTAGGGTCGCGCGTAAGTGCTCTCGCTTCAGATGTGGCGTGCCGCGCGGGCGGCTCGCGTCAGCCACCGCGTAAGGTCGCTACGTCATCCCGGGCAGGAACTGTTTTTGATCCTCGCTCCGGTGGCTTTCCAACCTCTGGATGCATTTTCCAGCAGCGGCACCTTGTGGCTCGATGTGGAGCCCGATGTTCTCCACACTGGCGTCGTCGATGCATCGCCGATGTCGCCGGTGCATCGCCGATGCATCGGCGATGTATCGCCGATGTGTCGGCGATGCAGCGCGACCCTTCGGCCCCATGACACCGAGAGCCGGCGAGATTGGGAGAGAGTCGGCGAGAACACTCCCAGACATCCGGCTGCTGCAACTTTTGCGACACGTGGGCCCCAGAGGTCTGGACCACTCCCCGATAGGCCCGGCTCATTGTCCCGAGTCGCTTTTTGCCGGTCACGAGGCCCGGCGAAGTCCGCCGAAATCCGCCCGCCCCGATTTTTCTGGAGCGTCAGGTCAGCTCTCGGGGCCCGGTGCTTTCGCCGGCATGTTGTCACTCGTCCTGCTCGTCGGGCGGGTGGCCATTGGGGGGTGGCCCAACTGTCAGAGCCCCGAATCATCAGGGGTAACTTGGGTCAGGGCTAACTCGGGTTCCTTTTTCGGGAATCCGAACCCGACTTACCCCGGACTCGAGTTACCCCGGATAACTCGGGCGTCCAAATTGGGGGGTGGCCCAACTGGGGGGGTGAAGGAAAAGGGCCCCGAAGAGGCCTTTTAGGGACACTTTTGGGCACCAGCTGGCTCCAAAAGGGGCCCTGGAGCCCTCCTTGAGGACCCTTGCCTTCACATGTTCTAGGCCTCCTTGATGGGGTCGGAGTAGATGGGGTCGGAGGATCGCGCCGCATCGCCGATGCATCGCCGATGCGGCTCGATGTGGAGCCCGATTTGCTTCACGTCGAAGTTGCCGGAGTATCGCCCACGTCGACGATACATCGCCGGTGCAGTGCCGATGCATCTTTGATGCATCGGCGATGCATCGCCGATGTATCGGCGATGCGGCGCGATTCTCCAACCCCATCTACTCCGACCCCATCTAGGAAACCTCTCAAGGAGGCCCTGGACACCGAGAGTCGTCGGGCGGGCGGTAATGAGGGGTGACCAACAAAACGGGGGTGAAGAGAAAGGCCTTAGAAGGGCCCTTTGGGGCCCCTTTTGGGCACCAGCTGGCTTCAAGAGGGGCCCATTTCATCACCCCCCAGTCTCGGGCTGGACGAAAGGGGGGGATTGGGAAAGGGGTGGGTACGAAATCTGCTGCATGCAGCTGGTTTCGGTCCCGCCGCCGGGCCAATCCCTCGATACGTGGGCGCCTCCCGGCGCCGGGAGGCGCTGGGAAAATCAGCTACGTGAGATGATTATCAAACCCCCCTTTGCTGTCCCCCCCTTTCGCACGGCCCGACAGTCGGGCTACCCCCGTTACCACCCGCCCGCTTAGCTGCCTCGATACGCAACACGCAACACGTACCGTATAGATACGGAGCTCAACACGTAGGCTGAATACGTGGGTCCGACGCGATCCATTCGCCAAAACGTGGTCCAATACGTTAGGCGAATTGCTCGACACTCCTTTAATTTCTAATTGTTCTATCCTGGGCCTCTTCCTGGCCACTAGGGGGTCAGGAGCAATCAGAAACGAGCACAATTTGAAATGAGCACGATTAGAAATGAGCGACGTGTAGGCCTCCTAGGTAGGGTCGGAGTACAATCGACCTGCATGGTAAGGATGGGCAAGCTACACTAGGGTACCTCTGCATCCTTGCCTTCTCGCTCCATCCTTGGCCGCTTTCGCTGGCCGCGCCCCGCTCGCAAGGTGTCGAAACGGCCTTCCAAGGCCCTTGCCTCCTTATCGTGCATCCTTCTGATACGGGTCGACTGTAGGGGCGAATAGCTCTGGGGTCGTAGGATCGCGCCGCGTGGCGGGTGCATCGGCGATGCGGCCCGATGCGACGCACGATTTTCTCCACGCCGACGTCGCCGATGCGTCGCCGATGCATCGCCGATGCATCGCCGATGCATCGGCGATGCGGCGCGATCCTCCGACACCATCTAGGAGGCCTCCTATAGCCGAGGGGAGAGCAAGCCGTGTATCGCCCCTGTCTTCGACGAGGCTCCCGGGCGAGTGCGCGTAACGCCCGCCCCTGGCCGATCCGCCCCTGTCGTCCGCCCCGGAGGATTGAACGACCTGGCGCGGTGGTCGAGTCCAGAGTCTCGGGGTCGGCTGGGGCTCTGAGGCGACCCAGCCTCGGCTCTGGCCAGCAAGAATGGGAAGGGGGGGGGGGTGCGAGTCGAAGTTCTGGGGGTGGGGAACGTATTTGGGCTTGTTCGGCCTCCGGGGGCCGCTTTCTGGACCCAGGACCGTCAAAAACGCATCTGGTGCGAAAAACGCTGGCCCAGGTGAGCCCTGGGAGGGGTCCCGGGGGGCGATTTTGAGGGGATTGGGCTTTGTCCCTGCCCTTTTGATCGATTTCCAGGGGCCCCCTCCAGTTTCCTTAGACAACCCAGCCGCCCCCAGCCAGAGCCCACGCCGTCGTGGCAGGTTGCGTTGCATCTCTGGGGGGCCCCGCCTGTCCCCCAGATCGGGGTCTTCTCCTGTGCCCAACGCGGGCTCGATGCGGACTCGACGCGGATTTGGCGTGGACTCGACACGGATTGGACACGGATTCGACACGGACCCGATGAGTCCGACATGGATTCGACACGGATTCGACACGGATAGGACTGCGACGGGACAGACAAAGCCCCCCGAGGATGCAACAGAAGGCAGGGAGTTGCTGCGTCCCTTTCCCAACGCTCTTGCCATGCTTGTGCCATTTCCCCGTGTTCCGTGTTGCAGGGCGGAGCTGAGCCGGGCGCCGGTGCCCCACAAGCCGAAGCACACGGCGCCGCCCCAGACGAGGCTTGGCGACCTCCCAAAGCACGCCGGGATGCTCTCTTGAGCCAGCACTCTGCCTGCCGCCTCGCGCGTCCCCCTCACCGTCCTGCTCCTCGCCCCATCGTCCCATTATCTTCCTCCACCTCCTCCTCCTCCTCCTCCTCCTCCTCCTCCTCCTCCTCCTCCTCCTCCTCCTCCCGCTCCGTAGCCATGTGGGCTCAAGACATGGCGGGCCCAGGACGTTTTCGGATCCGCTGCCCTCGCTTGGCCCAAGGAGCGGCCTTCGGGGGCTCTCGCCAGGCCTCGGCACTGTGTACACGCAACTCCGTGCGAAAAGCTGGCCCTAGCGAAGTGATCCAGACCTCCCGATGTCTGTGCTGCCAGAAGAGGAAAAGGTACCCATACCGCTACCTTTGGCTCGTTTTCGCCTTGTTGGGCCGCTTGGGAGGCCCTCGTCGCTTCCACTGGATTCGCCTCGAAATTTTAGTCCGCACCCCGGGAGAGGTCTGAGGAGTTTGCTCGTCGCGCCGCCAGTTCTGGCCCACAGCACGTCGGCGCGGCACGCTAGCCATTCCCTGATCCCCCAGCGTCAACATCCCGAGCCCTTCCGAGCTTCCCGCCCCGCGGAGAGGAGCGACACGCTATCCGCTCGCAAGGCATGGCATGTTGCCCGGACAGCCGCCGCGACACGTGAAGCAAAAGTTCCCGACCGTAGTCGAGTGTCGAATGACGAAAGGACACGGAGGAATCTTCGGAGCTCCGCGCGGATTCCTCGGTTCTGCGGTGGACCCCCTTGGCGACGCCTGCGACGCCGCCCCTGGCGAGCTGCGCGCGCCAGGGAGGTGGGCCCAGAAAGGAGGAGGAGGAGGAGGAGGAGGAGGAGGAGGAGGAGGAGGAGGAGGAGGAGGAGCAGCGCCGATCGAAGAAACCCGCGCGTACCTCCGAAAATCTCTGGGAGTGTGCCGTTGTTGGGCTCCCCGGCGGAGGCTCGGAGCATCCGCGCGGGTCCGTACGGGCTGGCGCGGCGGCGCCCTTTGCAGGATCGGCCGGTGTCGTGCTCGTTCTTGCACGCCCCGCCCCGGCGCCCACTCGTCCCCCAGCCTTCCTTCTCCCCAGAGGTCCAAAGCATTGACAAAAACAAGACGGAGGTTTTCCTAAGTTTTTGGCCTCTGGGGGCCCTCGCCGGGCCCTGGGACCGTCAAAAACGACTCGGGATGAAAAACGGGTCCTGGGGAATGGGTCGAGACTTCCAGGGACCCCGCATTGAAAAAATCACGACGCCGGATGTCTGGGTTCCTTCTCCCCTCTCCGTATTCCTTTTTCGCTGCATCCTCCCTCCCGTCTCCTCTGGTCGGGGCTTTATAATCCATCGCCTCCCCAAGGCGTCCCTCCACGTGGGACTCGTGAGGCGTGAAGCAGAGAGGGCCAGGAGTAACAACAAGATAAGGAGGAGGAGGAGGAGGAGGAGGAGGAGGAGGAGAAGGAAATGGAGGAGGGATAAGCAGTAAGAAGGGGGCGGAAGTATTTCGGGTAGCAGGATGGAGAAATTCGGTGGGGGGCGAGGAAAGGAGGCCGACAAAGGCATATATTTTTTATCTCTATATAAATACATACATACATACATACATACATACATACATACATACATACATACATACATACATACATACATACATACATACACACATACACACATGCATACGTACATACATGCATACATGCATGCGTACTTACATACAGACGTACATGCATACATACATACATACATACATACATACATACATACATACATGCACACATGCATACATACAAACAAACATACATCCATACATACATACCTACATACATATACACATACATACAAACATGCATACATGCATACATGCATGCTTGTATACATACTTGCATCCATACATGCATACACACATACATACATACATATACACACACCTACATGCACACATAAACACATACATACATACATACATACATACATACATACATACACACGTACACACATACGTACAAGCATACACACAAGCATACACATTTGCATGCATGCATGCATGCATGCATGCATACATACATACATACATACATACATACATACGTGCATACATGCATGCATACCTGCATGCATGCATGCATGCATGCGTACATACGTACGTACGTACGTACATACACACATACGTGTGTACGAACATACATACATGCATCTATACATATACACATACATAAGTAATGCATGCATGCGTACATAAACCCATACATACACACATACATTCGTACACACATACAGACGTACATACGTACACATACATACATACATACATACATACAAACATACATACATACATACATACATACATGTATGCACGCGTGCATACATGCATGCATACATACATACGAGAGAGCGCGTTTCACGGGCGCTTGCCTTGGGAACATTCGGCGGCGCGTTTCGAACCGGGGGGGTGGGCCCCCCCCAACGTTTGGCGCCGTCGATCAGAACCAGGGGGACTCCCCTCCCCCTAACCCTCCCCTCTCGACCCCCGCCCCCTTCAGGGGGGGAGTGTCCAAACCCCCCACCCCCTCGCGCCGGCGCCGGCGCCAGCGCTGGCGGCGGCCAGCAGCGCCGACGGCGGGGACGCAGCGACTATGACCAAAGAGGGCCCAGAGGGAGGGAGGGGGGGGTCCAAAGCCCCCCCCCCGCGCCGGCGCCGGCGCTGGCGGCGGCCAGCAGCGCGCCCAGAGGCCGCAGATTGGAAACACAAATCGCCATATCGAGCCCTCGCCTCAAAAGCCACCGAGGGGCCCTTTGGAAGGTCCACGAGGCTTCACAAATGCTCCTCAGACACCCCCGAAACCCATCTGACGAGACCTCGACAGACATCCATGAGAACTGTGGCCCACAGCCAAAACACAGTGGTGGGAAGACCCGAAGGCCACAGCACCACCACCACCACAAACCACCACACCACCACCACCACCGCTACCACCACCGACACCACAACCACCACAACCTTACCACCACCACAACCACCTATCATCACCACAAAACCATACACCACCACCACCACCAGAAACGCCACCACCACCAGCACCACCACAATCCACAACAACCCACCACAACCCACCACAACCAACACTGCTACCACCACCACCACCACAAACCACCACACCGCCACCACAGCCACCACCACCACGACCACCCACTACCCACCACCCACCACCAGCACCACCGCCAGCAGCACCACCACCAACACCAGAACCAGCACCACCACCGCCACAAACCACCACCGCCGCCACCACCACTACCACCACCACCACCACAGCCACCACCACCACCACCAGACCAGACCACCACGCAAACTCCATCACCAAAAACGCCACCACCACCACCACAACACCAACTCACCACCACCACCACAACATCCCACCGCCACTACCACCACCACCACACTCTGCCACACAACCACCACCACTGCCATAATCACCACCACCACTACCAGCAGCACAACCTATCACCACCGCCAACACAAACCACCACACCACCACCACCACCACCACCACTGCAACCACAACCACCACCACCAACAGCACCCTCACAACCCACCGCCACCGCCACCACCACCACCACAAACAACCACAGCACAACCACAACCACCGCCGTTTCCACCACCACCACCACCGCTACAACCCACCACCACCACCACCACCAACCACCACCACACCACCAGCAGCAGCAGCACCACCACCACTACCACCCATCACCACAACCACCACCATCACAACAAACCACCACACCCCCACCACCACCACCACAACCACAACCACCGCCACCACCACCACCACAACCCACCACCACCACAACCACCACCACATCCCACCACCACAACCACAATCACCACAAC